TCCCTCCCTTTTCTCTTTCTCTCTTTTTCTCTCTTTCTCCAAACGCATTTAGAGTATACTGTTCCTCGTCTCTCTCTCTCCGGTGATGTAGATTCACGCTGATTACCTGCGCCAATGAGATAAACTTCACTTTATTTGACTTTTTCTCAGGCTACGTTTTCTTCTTCTTGTTCTTGTTCGTGTTTATCTTATTCTCCTTGTTATTCCTCTTCTTTTTCTTCTTCTTGGTTTTGTTCTCGTTCACGAAGTTGTGTTTCTTCTTTCTTCTTTTTCTTATTTTTGTTTATGTTGTTCTTCTTTTGCTTGTTCATGTTGTTTTATTTTCTTTTGTCTCTGTTCGTTCTTGTTTTTGTTTATGTTGTTGCTGTCCTTCCTTTTGTTATTGTTCATGTCGTTATCATTATTTTTTTCAGTTTTCTCTTTTTGTTCTTGTTTTCGTCCATTTGTTGTCCTTTCTTTTGTTCTCGTTTATTCTGTCATATATCATTATCATCTTTACGTTTTGCTTGTACTTTGCCTCCGAACGCGACCCCCCTCTAACCCCCTCCCCTCTCCCCCAGGGCGCCCACATCCCCTACCTGACGGAGACGCACGGCATCGTGGTCAAGAAGTGGATGAAGGACTCCCCGCCGCCCTACGAGTCCCCCCCGGAGTACTCGAGCCTCTCCCCCGAGCTCATCATGGACGCCAAGACGCTGCAGGAGCTCGTGAACACTTCGCAGACGTCTTCGTCCCAGTCCCAAGGTCTTCCTGCCGGCGTCCACAACTCGCACCACTCGCAGACGTCCTCCGCGTCGTGCCAGGGACGCTCGGCCTCCCCCATGTGCACCACGCCCCTCTTCAGCAGCGCGAACTTCTGCGACACCCCGAGGAGCCTCACGCCCACGGGGACGCTGCAGGAGATGGGCAAGGCGCGGGCGGGCGTCTACGAGCGGCCGCCCTCGCCCATCTTCACCTCCTGTCAGTACCAGCTGTCGGCTTCCTCCGGGAACGTCCTTCACCTTCCGGCTTCGACCTTCGCGGCCCCGCCCCCGACCTCGGCCGCGTCGGACACCGTGCCTTCCTCGGCGTACGCACAGCACGTGCCGCCCCCGCCCACGTACGAGAGCCTGCGGATACACTCGCACGGCGGAGGCAGGAGAAAAGACGACAATCAGTGATACGTTCCCGGCGCCGTCGGAGGAGGACGCCGAAGGGGGCCCCGTCGACGGAGGCCTAGTCCCCGAGTAGCGTGTAGGACATGATGAGGAAGTAATTATGCTTTGTCAATCATAATGTAGTTTGGATTAGTTCCAGAGTAACATTTAGGATTATGGTCTTAAGAGGAAGTATCGAAATATGGTCCCGAAGACGCCGACGGAACGTTTCCGGCGACGAGGAAAGCCGCGTCCCCTTAAGGAGGTCTCTGGAGTCCTCGAACGCGACCGAGGGAAGTCAGACAGACGCGGACGAGCCCCAGGACTTCTCGTAGAGTCCCGCGGGAGCCGAACCTCGCTCCCGAATCCTCACAAACGACCCAAAATTCCATTCCCTCGGCTTTAGAGTAGTTAGTCACAGCTCATCTAACACCCACGTATTTGTAGTGCTCTCGTTAGTAGTAATGTAGGAACATAAGTGCAGATCATTGCGGTAGGTACACGTAGAATCTTTATTTATGCTGCGTAAATTATTCAAATGCTACACTAGAGACATACGCCACGAGGCAATGTTTACACGCTTTGTTACATACTACTCTCATACAGCATATAAACTATTCAAAAACCTAGCACATGAAAAAATGACATAACATAACACTTAGCGCTGAGAAATAGTTTTTTTTTTCTTTCTATTCACCTCTTCATCTATTTAAGAAAAAAAAAAGAGGAAAAGGCACCATATTTCGATAATTTTCCATACATGAACTTCCGTCCATGAGTATAAAGCATAATGTTTGAAATTCTTCCCGAGTGTACTTTGTATGTGTGTAATGTACCGGCGCCATTTTGTGTACCCGTAACTTTGATGTTTCTCCAACGATTATTCAAATAGAAAAAAAATCGTTTGCTAACGTCATTTTTATAGATATATGAGGAAGAGCAGGCGTTTAAACCGTCTCGGAATTTCCTTGATTTTCTAATGTGTAAGGATTAAAAAGACTTGGTGTTCTAAGAGTGTTACTGTGACAAAAAGGAAAAAAAAATGATTCGCAGTGTCTGTTGACAATCAGCTGGAAGCGATCGTCTTTTGTCTGGATGTCCCGGATGTCCCGTTTCGCGCCTTCTTTTGTTTTTGAAGGCCGTTAACGGTTAAAATAACCCCTCGCTCTGTTTACTGGGCGCTGTGGCTGTTATATCCTTTCACTTAACTTTTTTTGTAATAGGATTATATATATAAAGGGTAGTTGGGGAGTTTTGATTATTTAATAGCTATTATGATTATTGTTGTTGTTATTAATGTTATTGGGATGATCATTATTATTGCTATTATTTGCTCTTATCGATATTGTAATAATTATGATTTTTATTTCTTTGTGAGTTCGGAACTGCAGGAGTCGAAGAATTATGTTTATGATAACATACTATTTTAAAAGAGTTTAAAAAAGGGAAAAAACAGAAAACAAAATAGTAAACATTTTTTTTTAACGGACCCACAACCCTAATTAGGCTAAGAATCATTCAATATACCCGCCAACAATTGAAACAGGTAGTCAATCTATCTATCTGTACCTTCATTTTCTTTTTATATATATCCATATTATTTATACGTTATGCACCTTTATCAAAACTATCGGACCTGCTCACTGGCGCCCGGAGAAGGTGCCAAAACCAATTCAAAAATTCAAAAATTCAAATCAAGGCCACTTAACGGTCTTCTTCATATCAAGTGTATAATATTATTCATCATAAATTAACGTCGGTGTTTTACAGGAGTCTAGTCAGGGGAATATAGTATGTGTGTGTATTAATGGAAGGAAGAGAAGAGAGAGGGAAAGGAGAAGAAGAAGGAGAAGGAGAAGGAGGAGAAGAAGAAGGGAAAGGAAAAGGAGGAGAAGAAGAAGAAAGAGAAAGAGGAGAAGAAGGGAAATGAAAGGAGGAGTAGGAGGAGGAGAAGAAGAGGAAGAAGGGAAAGAAGAAGAAGAGGAAGAAGGGGAAGGAGGAGAAGGAGAAGAAGGAGAAGAAACTGACGCAGTAGGTATGAATGTATTATTTACTCTTCCTCCTTCTTTCTTTTGTTCTTTTTTCTTCTTTTCCTCCTCCTTCCTCTACTCTCACTCACCCTACTCCTTCTCTCCCTCCTCCTCCTCTTCCTCTTCTCCTCCTCCTCTTCCTCTTCCTCTTCCTCTCCTCTCCTCCTCCTCCTCCTCCTCCTCTTCCTCCTCTTCCTCCTCCTCCTCCTCTTCCTCCTCTTCCTCCTCCTCCTCCTCCTCCTCTTCCTCCTCCTCCTCCTCTTCCTCCTCCTTCTCCTCCTCCTCCTCTTCCTCCTCCTCCTCTTCCTCTTCCTCCTCCTCCTCTTCCTCTTCCTCCTCCTCCTCTTCCTCTTCCTCTTCCTCTCCTCCTCCTCCTCCTCCTCTTCCTCCTCTTCTCCTCCTCCTCCTCCTCCTCCTCTCCTCCTCCTCTTCCTCCTCCTCCTCCTCTTCCTCCTCCTTCTCCTCCTCCTCCTCTTCCTCCTCCTCCTCTCTCCTCCTCCTCTTCCTCCTCCTCCTCCCTCCTCCTCTTCCTCCTCCTCCTCTCCTCCTCCTCTTCCTCCTCCTTCTCCTCCTCCTCCCCCCTCCTTCAGTCTGCCAACAGACATTGTTCTCATTATTAATCTAATCTCCCATCTCCTTCTTTTGTTTCCTTTTATCCGGTATTGATATTTGATACAGAAAAAAGAAAGGAAAATCTGAGTAAATTTTTTTTTTGAGATGAAAGAAAAGGGAGAAGGAAAAAAAAAATAAAACGTCCTTTTCAGATTATGAGAACGAGAGAACAAGTAAATAAACAAATAAAAGTAAAACGTCCTTTTGAAATTAAAAGAATAAGAGCATGAGAAAAAATAAAATAAAACGTCATTTTGAGAACGAAAAATAAATAGATAAATGAATAAAACGTCATTTTGAGAGTAAATAAAAGAATGAGAGACGGGAAAACGTCCTTTTCAAATTAAAAGAATAAGAGCATGAGAAAAAAAATAAAATAAAACGTCATTTTGAGAGTAAATAAAAAAAAATGAGAGAAGGGAAAAATGTGAATATATGAATGTCTCTCGAAGATGACTGTTTTAGAAGCTTACAGATACGATGTTAGCTCAGCAGACTGTGACATTTAAAGGTAAAACGGCCCGCGTAATTATGCACAGGTAATCGACCTGCGTGACGTCATCAAGTTATATAATTCACAGTCCTATAGATAGATTTGATGACGTAATAGCGCCTTCTCTCCTCCCCCCCCCCCCCGTCCGGACTCTCTGCACCTCTCGCCGTCTCTTCTCACTTTTTTGCTCTCTCTCTCTTTCCTCTCATTCTCGCTCTCTCGTTTACCTCTCATTCTTGTTCTCTCGTTTCCTTCTCACTTTTCTCGACCATCTCTCTTTCCCTCTCACTCTCGTCCTCTCTTTTTCACTCTCATTCACCTTTCGCTAACCTACTCTTTCATCCCTCTCGGTCTCTCTCTTCCCTCTTCCTGCCTTCTTACTCTCGATCTCTCCCGCCATCACTCTCTCTTCCTTTCTTCCTTTCCCTCTCATGTTTTTCCCCTTTCTTCCGTCTCCTTTCCCTCTTTCTTTCTTCGCGTTTCCTCTTCATTCCTCCATTTTCCCTTCCTCTTCTTTTCCTCTCTCATCCCTCTCCTCTTCCTCTCCCTCTCTCTTCTCTCCTCTCCCTCTCTCCTTCCCTCTCCTCTCCCTCCCTCCCTCTCCCTCTCCCTTCCACTCAACCCTTCGAAGTGGAATTACAAGGCCCCGGTAGCCTAGACACTACCCCTTCGCCCCCTCTCTCCCCCCCTCACCCTTCCATCTCTTCCCCGAGGAAAAAAAAAAAAAAAGACTCGTAAGGCGATAATCCCACCGCATGGCGCTCCGAGATGTGACCTTTATGATGTTGAGCTTCCTGGGTCGATCGATATGTATGAATATTTATGGTGATGAGGTCCGTCGGGTGAGGGATACAGGCTTGACCTAAATATGAATTATTCGCCAAGTGGGGTCATGGCTTTTTTTGGTTTTTGTTTGTGCAAAATTCTTTTCTTTTCTTCTCTTTTCTTTTTGTGCTAATTAGTGTTTTTTTTTTTGGGGGGGGAGGTTGGGGTATACATGTAAACACGTACGCACAGATAGACAGGAACGCATACACACACACATATGTATACACGCACGTACGCACACACACACACACACACAGACACACACACACACACATACACACACACACAACACACACACACACACACACACACCACACACACACACCACACACACACACAACAAATATATGTACACACACACACGTACACACACACACACACACATACAGACTCTCATTTTTTTTTCTTTTTTATCAAGACACGCGCCTCAGTTAGAGCAATTCAAACAAAAATACCGAAGCCATAACAAGGATTCTCGATGGAAAGGGGAAGAGAGAGAAGGAAGGAGAGAGGAAATAGAAGGAGAGAGGAAAGGGGAAGAGAGAGAAGGAGAGAGAAAGGGAAGAGAGAGAAGGAAGAGAAGGAAAATAGAAGGAGAGAAGAAATAGAAGGAGAGAGAAGAAGTGGAAGGAGAGAGGAATGGGGAAGAGAGAGAAGGAAGGAGAGAGGAAATAGAAGGAGAGAGGAAAGGGAAGAGAGAGAAGGAGAGAGAGGAAATAGAAGGAGAGAGGAAAGGGGAAGAGAGAGAAGGAAGGAGAGAGGAAATAGAAGGAGAGAGGAAAGGGGAAGAGAGAGAAGGAGAGAGAGAAGAAATAGAAGGAGAGAGGAAAGGGGAAGAGAGAGAAGGAGAGAGAGAGGAAATAGAAGGAGAGAGGAAAGGGGAAGAGAGAGGAGAGAGAGAGGAAATAGAAGGAGAGAGGAAAGGGAAGAGAGAGAAGGAGAGAGAAAGGAAATAGAAGGAGAGAGGAAAGGGGAAGAGAGGAGAGGGAGAGGGAAGACCTAGTAAGAGAGAGAAAGGGAAATGGGCGAGGAGAGAATAAACGGAAAAAAAGAAGAGAAGAAACGAGAGAAGAAGAGAGGAGAAGAGAAAAGAAAATACAGGAGAGGAGAGGAGAAAAAGCGAGACGAGATGAGAGGAGGCTAAAAACTAGAGGAAAAGACACGAGAGAAGACAGAGAAGGAGAATAAGTAGAGAGAGGAGATTAAAAAAAAAAAAAAAAAAAACACTCAGGGGAAATATGTCTACGAGTTCTTTATCCTCTTCTTAACGTCTTAATTGCAAGGGCGTCGCGGGGACAAAAATCTCCCCCTTCCCCCTCCCCCCTTCGTCCCTTCCCCAGCCTCCCGTCCGCTTTTCCCTTCCCCCTCCCCTCCTCTTTCCCTTTTCCGTTTTCCTTCCCCTTTCCCCCCCCCTTCGTCCCTCCCTCCTCCAGCCGCCTTCCCCTTTTCCCTTCCTCCTCCCCTCCTCTTTCCCTTTTCCTCTTCCTCCTTCCCCTTCGTCCCCCTCCCTCCCCAGTTTCCCTTACCTTTCCCCCTGCCCTCCTCCCCTCCTCTTTCCCTTTTCCCCTTTCCCTTTTTCCTTCCCCTTTCCCCCTTCGTCCCCTTCCCTCCCGCGGCCTTCCTTCCCCTTTTCCCCTTCCCTCCTCCCCCTCCTCTTTCCCCTTTCCCTTCCCTCTTCCCCTCCTCCTTCCTTTTCCAGGGATTAGGAGGAGGGAAGGAAGAGGAGGAGGGAAGGATTAGGTGGGAGGACGAGGAATTGAAGGGAGGGAGGAAAGCGTGGGAAGAAGGAGGAAGAGGAGGAGAAGGGGAAGAAAAGAGGAGGAAGGTCGGGGGAAGGAGAGATAGAGAAGGAGACAAGAAAAGTAGGAGAAAGAAAGGGACAAGGCGAAGAGAGGAGAGAGGAGAGAGAGGAAGGAGAAAGACAAAGAAGAGGATTAGAATTTGAAGGAAAACGAAGAAAAAGGAGAGAGAAAGAGAGAAAGGAGGAAAGAGAAATTCGAAGAAGAAAAGAGGAAAGGAGGAAAGAGAAATTCGAAGAAGAAGAAAGAGAGAAAGGAGGAAAGAGAAATTCGGAGAAGAAGAAAGAGAGAAAGGAGGAAAGAGAAATTCGGAGAAGAAGAAAGAGGAAACGAGAGGAGGGAATAAAAATTTACGTCCAAGCTTGCGACTCGTAAAAAGGAAGCCAAAGCTGGTAAGATGATCGTTTTACAGAACATTCCTCGGGCGTGCAAGGAAACGGACAGAGAAGGACGTACGCCCGCACACAGCCAGAGAATGAATTAGGGCTGAGTCGTACGTGTTCGTAGTGTTCGTATAATTTGTATCGCAAGTCGTGCGCGCGCGTGTGAGCTCCAGGACAGCATACTTATTTCAATTCGTAACGTTTTTGGAAAGAGGAAAATGAGTAAAAATAATAATATTAATTTATGAATATAATGTAAATATACTCCATTAACATTATTAATTGTTGAATCTTTCCTATGCAGCCTATATCAGTTGCCAAATGCTT